GAAGCAAGAATGGGCAAGTTGCAGACCCCGGTGTGATTTCAAAAACTCTTCTGGATGGCATCCACTGAGACTCTTGGTGAAAGCAATTTGTCCCTTTCCTCACATCCTGGTACTCAGGAGGAGGAAGAAAGCGTGTTGGGGGGGGGGGGGAGGAATCCTACCCCTTTAGCCCTAGCTCTGCCAGCCACAGAACTGTGCCTCCCCACAGGTAAACTTCAAAGGAATTCAGGGGTGGGGGGAGCTCTCCATTCTTGCTTTTATGGCAAACGTAGCATGGCTCTGGCAAGGTACTGGGGCCCATCCCATTCATACTGCTCCAAGTCCAGTAAGACAACTGAAAAAAATGTCCTTCTACTCTGGATTATGTTTTTTCTGGATTCTGAAACAGGTTTTCTCACACAACGGCATATCCCACTCTTCCTGCCACAAGCCTAACCACTCCAGACAAATTTAACTGAAGAGGGAAAAATATACCCTCCAGAGATATGTAACTTTGACAAGCTGAAAGCCAAAATTAAAGATATTAAAAGCTAGGATGACATCTGACAACCAATCAGTTTTCTGGGCCCTTTTCCCCAGAAACAATTCATTTTGCTGCTAATGAAGAGCTATTCCCCCAGAAAATGCTTAAGGTTATATGATGTTATTCAACTATCAGGAAAGTCAGATCCCCTGAGATCTAAACAACAAACTGACAAGTAAATTAAGGAGTAGGTGGCTAATTAAAAAAATCTATAACTATTCAAGCCTTTGCAGAATATTAAGTTAGGTTTGCCAAAGTGGAGTTTTGGGGCCTATTTTTGATGTATTTTATTTCCTTAAGCCACATGACTGAAGTGGCGGGAAAGCATGCCAAACAGATCTAGAAATGGAAGACTCTGATTCACAAATTACTTCAAAGTAAGTCAGCACAAACTGTCTTCACTGGAACAGATAGCAGCAAGGAACTCTCCTAGAATTATACCTTCTGGGTGTGTCTTCCAGATGTGCACCATTCTGCGTCACGAATTCATACTTTTATCTGGGAGAAGTGCATATATTCATCTTTCATCCTTAAGTCACATCTCTCAAGATCTTTTAGAAGGACCTTCAGGTGGGCAGTAACTTGACTTACAAGTAATTACTCCCTCACTGAAAAGCCAGGCAGATGAACCAAATGGCAGTCTAGGAAGAAGCATGCCAGCATCTAATAAACCCTGGCATTCTTCCAGAATTAGAACTAAGCTGAACCACCCATTCTTTTGAGAGAGAATGGTATAGGCTAGATGAGAGAGATTCTCTCACGACCAGACCAATCAGCACTAGGCAGAGAGGAAAGCCTCAACAGCTTTGAATGTAGTGCAGGAACAAAGAACAATACTTCTGAAGCCTAGTTTTTAATTTTTATTTTTTCTTGAGAAGTGGTTGGGAGGAAACAGGACAGTGCATTTTCCCCTATGGTGTCCAGGAGGCCCATATGGCTAATTTGTTGTTCACCTTTTAGCAAGCAGCTCAAAGTTGACATAAGACAACTGTTCACTTGAATTGGTTTTACGGCTGCCTCTCAGATTTTATTTTGGCCATGATTAGAATGTCCTTGGAGACATCCTATTTTAAAAACTGTTTTAAAAGTTGTGCTGTGGTCTGCCATGTTGGTATCAATAAAAAGATGAGATGGAAACACTTTATTAAATAAGGCAAGAGAAGACTTCCTCATAACATATATCGTCAAAAACTATGTTAATGTAGCAAAGAGGTCTCAAGGGTAGTGAGCTTAAGTTATTATTTTATCAACTGTGGTGTTAACAGAGTGGAAATCAAAAATGTGGCTGGTGAAACATCCAGAACACATCTATTTTGTACTTGATGCTTTTCCGGGAATTCAGATCTGAACCTGATATTTGCATTCCTACCCACGCAGGGGGATCAACTCCCCCTTACTGCCAACTCACAATATTTGGCCTGTTCCTGGTCCTGCATTTAAAGTACTGCCTTATACAATCTCAAATTTGAAAAAGCTCTTTGCCTTCAGGCCTGCAAGAGGAAGCTTTAAATATTATTCCCATGCACCAAGGGGCTCAGAAACAAGCTACTTTTAAAATGCTGAATATTAACTTCAAATGTTTTAGAAACCCACTCAATTCTGAACTCTTAGGTTCAGCTCAACGTGCTGCCTAACCAGGTTAAGTAAGTTCAACCAAGAGTGCCATGCTATCAACCATGTCTTCATTGCTCATCATAAGTCCCCAAACACAGAAGCCGGGGAGCATCTGGTGCGGAGGAGCAGCAGCACTGGAAGCAACCTCTGCCTCGCATCTCCCACTCTACATTTTTGCTACAGGAATTGCAGAGGGCAGGCGCAGGAGGCTGAAGTTCAGTCCGGATACCTTGCATCCTAGCAGCCCCCACCTTTTTCCTCTCCCCTCAAATTGCCCCCACCTCCCTTGATTAACCCAGAAACCATGCCTTCATCCTTCAAATTATGTGGGAGGCGCAGTGCTGAGGAACCTTGACTCCCACAGCCAGTGTTCAGAAAGGCTGTGAGTTGTAGTCAAAACATCTGGAGGACACAAGGGCAGGAAAGGCTGATCTGTACAGTAATCAAGAGTCAGCTAGTTTCCTGGTTCAGAAATGAGAGGGGAGGAAATGTGTGGACCTAGCACTCCTATTAAGTGAAAATCAGTGTGTCTGAATTAGCCTGATAGTTTGGCAGGATGGCTGAACAATCACAATCACAGCAGTTGGTCTGCCTCCAGGGGGAATTGCAGAATACCAAGTAGATGGAGAACAGAAGCAGGCAGATCTGAGACAACCCTAGCACAAACCACGCTTTGATACAGCATACAAACTGAGGCTCAACATAAGCCAAAGAAGAGGGTAGGGAGGCATCACTGCATTATGACCCCTTCATTGCTGAGCACCCTAATTAGCTGACATTAAAGGTGCAATCCTATGCTTCTTTAGACAGAAAGAAGTCCTACAGCCGCAAGTGTATGGCATGCAGGGGGTTGTGAGGCTTTTGCCTGCCTGAACATGCCCAGGTTGCACCCCAAATTGACCAATTATGCATTAGCAATACTGAATTTTCAGAAGACGAAATACTTTGAAATGGTGGTCTGTAGATACTGTCATTAAGGTATTTGAATAAAAATTAAAAGCTTCTCATGCAGCAATTTATTTTAGAGTCAGAGTCACGTCTGTTGGACATGAACAGCATGTATTTCAGTATGAAAGTGCCTGAGAAAAAGGGGGGGGGGCATGCACCTTTCTCTGACAGGCTTCTATTCTGTAGGAGACCCTTGCAATCAGGATCACCTGCGTTTTGCACGGTTTAGATACAGCCCCAGCCTTGGGTAGCTGCATCCCAGTTTGCTACCCAGCCTTCCACCGTCCTTCCAAGTTTCTCACTGTCACACATACACAAATCTGGATCAAAATCTGCAGTAAAACACAAGGTGGAATTTGAAGGATGTTTATCTGCATTACAACTAGGAAAAATGTTCTATGCACCCTTTTATCAAGTGGCTTTTTCATGTCACATGCCACACGGATGGAATCAACCATTTTACAGCACTAATCAAGGCTGTCAAACCTACAAGGCAACACACACATTTGCAATTAATTTCATGACATGAGCCTGAAAGGAGTTCTTATTTAAGGTATAGACAATGCTGACAAAAGAGTGAAGGAATCTTTCTTGGATAACATTCTATGAAATAAACATCTCAGTATGTTGGACTCAAAAGAATATTTGAAGATGTCTCTATCCAGCCTATTAAAAATACTCAAGACTGGCTTAATAACCACCCTCACAAAAAACTAAATCTAACTGAAGGTCCCTGTGAAAAACGTTATGGACAAACTAAACTAACCCTATGCGTGTGACCATGAAACTGCGATTTTGGATCTACCATGCCTATGAAAATTACACTTTTCCAAATCAAAAACCTATTTGATTGGGCATTTCTCAGCTAGTTAGCCCAGATTTTAGCTCAGGATCAGTTTTCCCCCAATTAAGGAAAAAATAGTGGCTGTACACATCTAGAGCCTTTGAACTGTGAATGCACTTTAAAAAAATTCTTGCAGAGATAGATGCTGCTTCATGGGAATTGGTTGAGAAACTGAGAGTTGATGCCATAAGAATGAATGGTCACAAAGCAGAAGTGTAAGAAGAGAGGGGAACTGATGCATGCTTGCAATGGATATGATTAACCTAAGTGAGGTTTTAGTGGAGGGCTTTAACCATTTTATATTTCAGTGAAATACTAACTTGAAATAATTAGCAAATAAGAGCCACGTCTTCAACAAAGGCAGACAAAATGCAATTGAGGGGAAAGGTTGAATCTTTTCCAAGGATGTTCCCCAAAATACTGGTATTAAATAGTATAACACATCTTGGATGGGAACAGAAAATGCTAAATATGACAGAAGCATAACCTTCCATCCTTCCTGACCTATAAAATCCAAGCATGTGTCTGTTCTTCCACAAACCCATGACTCTCTCATCAGCATATCAAGTTCCACATCCCGTTTTAAGGTCAAAAGTGCATTAACAAACATTGTACATAGTATAATTGATTTGGCAGAAGTATCACAATAAATGACATGCTAAAAATGCTAACAGTCAAGGCACATGTCTCTACAACACAGATCCAGATTAAGCTGGTAAGCTGCTCTCCTACCTATCTCCATCCACCAGAAGTCAGCAACCAAACAGTAGACAATCCAAAACTGCACATGTAAGGGAAATAAATTTCTTTATCCCAAACTAACGATCCATTTTTCATTTACAGCAGCTTCATCAATACTTCTTCACAAACATGAGATCCCAAACTGCATCAGTGAAGACAAATACACTGACAAATGGTTGACACGATCTCAAGCCAGTGCCTGGGCACTTAAGGTCATAGTTCTTAAGACTTCTTTTCCTCCAGAAAGAAAACTCCATAGATTTGTCCTGGACGAAGGATCATTTAGCACATTAAGTTGTTAAACCCACTCATTTTGTAGCAAACACATACCTGTCATGAAGCACGGATGACACCTCCCTTCTGAGCACAGAATGATCCATACCGTCAATGTTAGTAACTCCCCTGTTAACCAAAGGAGATAAGACTTTAATGTTCTGTTTTTTAGACAGAAAGCATGGTACCCTAATGTACCAAGACAACTTAAAAAATCATGTGAGCACAGCTCACTGGGGTGGGGGGGTGTAATTACTGATGAAGTCAGTCACACTGCCAAGACAACTGATTGCTTCATAATGAAAAGAGGCTTTTGTCACTTAACAAGGAAATACTGGACAAAAGATCTGCTATTCTAGAAGTCCAGAGATGAATCCCCAGACCGTTTCTTTTCTTCTTCAGTTTTTAAGAACACACGGGTGCATTAGCCCTCTTTCAAGGGGTCTGGAAGCGAAGAAGTGCTGAAACAGGAAGTGTTCAAAGGGCCTAGCACATTAAGATTATTCCAAGAACAAAAATCCCCTTGGAAAAAAGGCATTTAGCAGAATAACTATGTCAGGCAAAGAGTCAACACCCGCGATCTAAGAATGTCATCCTTCAAGAAAGAAAGCTCCTGGGCTGTGCTGAATATCCACACGATGAAGCAGCTGAAGGAGCTTTGATCAGCTTTCCTTTCTACTGTCAAAGCAGACCTGTGGCGACCCTCATGATTTAGCACCAACTTTGTTATTACAGCAGCTTTGTGTACAGGTCTTTTCTGGGCTCATTGTATGCATGATATTTGTTTCTTACAATCCCTTCCTTCCCATAAGCAGTACATCCTTTCCCTGGCAAATGGAGTTTTACACACAGCATAGAAGGGCCAAAGACAAATTATGTTCCATGAGTTTGTGATTATTTCAGACCTATGTTCATGTCTGCCACTAATGCATTCCATAAGCAAACATATATCTTCTGATGGAATCCGAAGTTCGAAGCAAAGATAAAATGAGTCACTGTTGTCTCTTCCTTCTCCCCTCTCTGCTTATAAGGAAGAGAAGTACTTACAAAAAGGACCCTGTCATAGAAAGCTAGTGGCAGTCTATGAATTGCAGAAAATACTGTAGGAAATTCATCTTCTAGTTAGCAGAGATCAGATTTCAGCAAGAGAAGTATCAAAGAACACAGATCTTAGCAAGCGAAAGGCTTTTGTTGCTCCATCCTCAGTAGCTTGGAACTCATCCTGGATTTAATGCACTCACTGGAGACAAAACCTTTACAGTGATCTAGACAAGGATAAAAGCCTGCCTCAGCAATCGTATGCCTCTCACTGGCACAGCACACAAGATCAATCGGTCGATTCCTTACATGAACGTAAGAAGACTGCAATCTCCACATACAGAATAATCAAGCAAATTGATGCAGAGAAGATTTGGTTCTATGATGCATAAGAATGTGAACTGGGAAGCTGAGTGGGGGACACAGGGAATCGAGAGAATGCTGCCGGACATGGCAAAGACACCTGCTCACCAATACACCTAAAATCATATCTAATACTAAAGGAAGATGCTCCATCAGAGTTCTGCCTGCTAGAGAAGTAGGTTAGATGTCTGCTTTTATACACATATACACTTCTCCCCCCACCCCCGCTTTCTCCAAATTGCTTATGTCTATGTACCTAGGATTCCCCGTTTTTATCCTCATAAACAGGTAAGTTAGGTTGAGAGGGTGTAACTGACCCAATGAGTTTCAGAACTGAAAAAGGGTTGCAACCTGGGCATTTCTAGCCCTAATGCAATAACCTGTCCACTATATCATCTTTACAGCATCTTTCTGTTCTTCGGTCACATAAACTCTCAAGAGATTTCCCTGGTAGAATATCACTAGTTGGGCACTGAAAACCAAGCTTCAATATAAAGTCAATTCACAGCACTCCTACCACTGCAATCATTCTAAAAGCAGCTGCCCACCACATTTATTTATTTATAGCAGATAAAGGAAATCTGTGATCCTCTAAATGATGCTGGACTCCAACTCCCATCAATGCCGTATCAATGATCAGGGATGATGGGACTTTTTCTCCAGCATCTAGAGTGCAAGAGACCCCCCAAGTCTGTAAAAATGCTCTCTGGGCAGCTGACAAGTAAAAATACTAAATAAATGAACAAGCCAGTTGAAACACTCACATGCATAGACAAAAAGTATGCTAAAATGCAGCATTAAAACAGTTAAGATTTCCACATCTACAGCAAACACATTGCAAACTTACGCAATCCATTTTACCATGCAACATATGATTCAGACATCTCTCCCAAAATAAAGATGTCTTTGACAAATAGCTGCACTTTAAAAAAAATCTTTAGAATAGGAAGCTTTGCCACTGCTGTGCAGAAATTTTATTAATGTGTTTATTTTACTGTAGATGCTTTCTGAAACAAAAATTCCACCCCAGTTTGGATGTACAGTGAATACACGTATATGCCCAACCGCCCTTTGAGATCTGCGGGAGAGTCCCTTCTCCGGGAACCCTCCATGAAAGAAATTAGGAGAGTAAGTACTCGGAGGAGGGCTTTCTCTGCGGTGGCGCCCAACCTATGGAATTCACTCCCCAAAGAGGTCCGCCTGGCACCGTCGTTACTGGTTTTCGGCGCCAGGTAAAGACCTTTTTATTTAAACATCATTTTAATTGTTAAAATATATGATCTGGCCAGGGCAACTTCTTCTTCCTTCTCTTTTCTCCTCCTATATTATTTATTTACTTATTTTATACTGATAATTTTAATTTTATATTATTATGTTTGTAACTCAATGTATTTTTTGTATTTTTTGTATTTAATGGTAATTTATTATGTTCTATTGTATTTCAATGTATTTTATTGTGTTGTAAGCCGCCCCGAGGCTTCGGCAAGGGGCAGCATAGAAATGTCATAAAAATAATAATAATAATTATTATTATTATTATTATTATTATTTATTGTAAGCCATCCTGAGACATTTTATAGGGGACAGGATAGAAAAGCTTCTAAGAAACAAACAAACAATAAATAAATACCCCTGCCCTTACATTCTGTTTTACAACACTGTATTATTGTGCTGTTTTTAATATGTGCAGACTGAGTCACAGGTGCAGGACATACGCTGTACACAAGTCAATATTTTTGTAATGAGCCTAAGTTTAAAGAAAATGGACCCAATGCATGAATTATTCGATAAAAATCAAGATGTTTAATTTATTAAATTTATATCCCACCATTCCCCCCTCCATGGAACTCAGGGCAGCCTGCAAAGTCCTCCTCTCAATGTTATCCTTGCAACAACCCTATAAAGTGGGTAGGCTGCTCAATCCTATGCATATGTCAGTTGTGGGGTGTCTAATTTATTGTTATTTGGGATATGTATACTGTATTTATAGATTTTATTGTAAGCTATCCAGAGACAAAAGTGATGGATGGCCTAGAAATATCCTAAATAAATAATCTTTTTAAAAAAATGTGATATGCAAAGTAAGACCCATCAATTTCAGTGAGTCTTTTGCACAGGTAAATAAGTACAGGATTGCAGTCTTACCATCATAGCCAGGACAGAAATATTTTATCAGTAATTTATCAGATAAATATTTAAAATTTAAAATAAAATATAAAATATAAAATATTTTATCAGAGCTCTTCTGCCTTCAACTTACAATGTAACCAAATTTTGTTGCAGACCCTTAACTATAAAACATCGAATACTTTATTTCACATTTCATGGTAACTCCAGCAGCCCTAAGCAAGGTATGCTTCAAGCAGCAGGGTTCCGACTCTTCCCTCCCCCCCCCCCCCACCCCACACACACACAAGAAGGTATTTTCCCCCTGCACTTAGGACAGCCTAAGCTCAAAATTGCTCTTGACAAACCCAGCTGCCGTACAGCAATTTGCATTTGCTCTGGCACAACGCTCTCCTTCAGTACAGAGCTAAAATTGGATTATTTCATTGTCCAAGGACACAAGCATTTGCACCCTAAAGGATCTGGACTTTTAAGAACGTCTTGCTCACAGATCTTCTGACATTAACTTCTGTGACAGAAAACCTAAGCTATGCTTTTGACTTGCTTCTATAAGAAGACTCTAAAATGGCATTTTGAGAGGAGAGAAACTTCCCACTTGATACTGAGAAGCAAAGTGCTTAGAGACATTACAGACGACTGCACCATGAACCTGGGCAGCAGAGACTCCCCTGAATTGCAAAAGAGTATTTTCCAAACACACATGATGAGCTCTGTGCCTACCGTGTGGGTCACAAGCTGAGATACAGCTACAGAAATGTGCCTTGGCAAGAATACAGTCCTTGTACTGTTTTATGTTGCTGCTGCTGTCACCTTTTTACTTCTTTAGGATCATTGTTTTATTTAAATCTGCAGGTTTAATCATTGTGTACTGTTTTATTTTGATGGTAAACTGCCTTAAGAATGTTTCAGAAAGATGGGGAGATCAATGCTGGGGACAAGGAACAAAAATACAGCCAAACATTGCTCCTTCATGACAATTCCTTCATCGTGAGCAAGACACACAAAAATCATTCATGAGTCGCACGTTTATTTTTAAAGCTTCTCTCTTTGCAAGCCAAGAGGCCATCTTAGCACTTAATGAATGTGATGCCAAGTAAATGGCTTGGAGCTTCTGTGGACTTCCTACACCAGAGCTCATGCCAGTACTCATACACTGAGTGGCTTTCATAGGGAAGTCTGATGCACTGCAGTCTTAAAGCTGAACTAATCTGCAACTGAAATAATTTGTTCGACTGAGTTGTGGGGTTGGTGTCTGCATATTATGAAATAACTGAAGTAGCTTGCTGCACCGCAGCATATGTAACTGATGTAATCTTAAAATGTTACCCAAGTGCATCAAACCAGTCTGTGATGTGCCCCATCAGCCACACCTACAATGCACTATTTTCCGTAGCTCAGACAAGGCTTGCTGTTCATTTTCTCTCATATGATTCATCAAGGAAGTAGGAAAAAGGGCAAGATTTTGAGATTCACTGCTGTTCCGACTAGGTTACTGTTTTATATACCATATTTTTCGCTCTATAAGATGCGCTTTTTCCCCCCTCAAAAGTAAGGGGAAAAGTCTATGCGTCTTATAGAGCGAATGTGTGTGTGCCCGGTGCCCGGGACGCTGCCGGCCCGCCTGCACCACGTGGCACCACCTGGCCGGCCCGCGCTCAGTGCACCCTGCTCCTCCCCCTCCCCTCCGGTGCAGGTGAGAGCTGTGCCGCTCAGGGGGAGGCATGTGGAGGAGGAGGAGCCGCAGGCTTTAACCCGCCCACCGCACGGAGAGACGGACTGCTCACCCCCACTGCCCGGGAAGACCCGGCGCCGCCGCCACCCGGAAGACCACCGCCGGCACCCCTGCCGGCCCGGCTGCACCACACCTGGCCGGCACGCACTTGGCGTGCCCTGCTCCGCCTCCCTCCCCCCGGCGCAGGTGAGAGCTGTTAACCACAGGTCGGTGTGTGTTTTCAAATGGCAACCCGTCTTTTAATGAAGCCCATGGGGAAGTGATGGGAAATATGCCTATGATTATCAGGAAGCTTTCCATGGATCCCTCCTCTAAAAACTAGGTGCATCTTATGGTCAGGTGCGTCTTATAGAGTGAAAAATACGGTAACACACAAATCTTTAGTTACTCACAATGTGTCTCTCCACATCATCTCTGACACACTGATATGCCTCCTGGGCTGTTTGCACACCTGCAAGTGGAACAAAAACAAAAACAGGGCACTCTCAGAAGGCGGAAGAAGGCACCTCATGTGGGGGTTCAAAGAACACAGGGCATTCTGTACTGATCATCTCATACTGAACCCACCTTTATTTCCTCAGTGGTTGTTCACCCCCCTTTCTAGATGGTAATTTCTTGAATTGGAGGGTGGGGGGAGATTGCAGCAGTACCCACAGTATTTTACACAAAACCTTATTATGCTTCAAACAGTTTTCTATGTTTCCATTCAGTCTTTGCATAAAATTAGCTCATCAGCAACCAGCCTACTGATTCCCAAAATCTCTCTCTCTCACACCTATTTGCAGCCTGCCTTTCTACCAAAAGAAAGAAGAACAGTAAAGGCACTTCACAAATCTATGTAAATTAAAACTATATATTGAAATGCAACATAGCATAGCAATTACAAAAATTATATATTCCTAACAAGAGGCTCCAGGTCAACTCTTCCTACAAGCAGAAAGAAGGTAGGCCGATTAGAGACTTCATCCTGAAGAACGGCTAGACTTTTGCAGCTTAGAAGAGGTGAATGACTTGACATCAAGGCTTGGTGAGCAGCTGAAAAACACGCACACTCAGGCAACATTTAGCAGTGAAGGGGAACATGGTAAGGGGCAAACACCACTGGGGCATTCTTCTGTAGTTATTAGCCGATATGGACCCCTACTCTAATTCTTAACTGAGCCAGACATTTCTGCTCACACTTCCTGAGGGACATACATGACCACAACTGAAGGACTGACTTGAGCTCGGAGAGTTTGTTGTTCTGCCCTTCCCAAATCTCTTGCCACTGTTTTTGACTTGAAAACCATGGTGCAGAAGTCACTGGAGTCATTACCCGAGAGGGGAGGACAACAGCCAGGGAGTTCCCATTTGCAGAAATTCCTCCGCTGTTCCCCAGCTAGACCAGCAACTCCGACTTTCCTTTCAGGGCACCAAAGCAGCATTAACAATGGCAGCCTTCCCCAACATGGTGCCCTCCAGATGTGCCATGAGTTGTAGTCCAACACGTTTGCAGGGTACCAGGGTTTGGGAAGGCTGAACTGTGGGCTGGTACCTTCCTCAGAGTTTCTTGCCACCCAGTTTGCAGATATAAGCAGCTGCAGGAGTAACCTTTCTGGACTTCCTTGCAAGGATGCGTTAAATGGCACAACACAGTCTTGCTTGCAAGGGTGCCAGTCACGCCCATCTCAAACTTAATGAGGCTGAAGCAAACAGTTCCACTTCCAACAAGTTGCTACAGCAAAGCACAGGGGCAAGAGAAAACGGGTTTGGACAGTTTTATTTTGCTAACTCAGACTTCAGCCAACCATTTTAATGATTACACAAATGCTTGTTCCAGGAACAAGGCAACTGCAGGCACCTTGATAACTGGAGCAAACGCACGAGCAAGAGCTGTGCTGGGCTTGCCAAGGTACCTCACTGCTGGACAAAGGAAGGCTGCAAGCAGCTTTCATCTACCCAAAATGACTTCCTGGCCTTTGCGCATATTTAGCCATCATACCCAGTTAGGAAAAATTATACAACAGGGACTCCAGGACCGCACCAATGAACTTCGTCTCACCGAGTCTGGCTGTGCTTCTGCATCAGAGCCACCTGGTTCTGGACACTTACACTTCAAAATGCTATTTCATTTATAGCACATAAAACACTGCCTTGAAATTTGGATCAATTATCCAGTCGATATTTTTCAGCTTTTCTGGCTTCTAGGAAAGCTTTCCAGAGACTCATTTACTGGGGATGCGCTGCACATCTGCCACTGTTCACCAGGCCACTACACTAGGCTCTTCAGCCATGTTCTGAGATGCACTCACTCTACGTGGGATCCACCTCAGCCAAACGTGTTGTCTCTAGGATATGCCCAACACCCACCTGAAGCTGTGCATTACAGGTGGGCTAAATATATCACAGGGAAGCCAGCTACACCTTGACAAAGCAGGTTTCTCTAGTTCCTCCAGCAACTGAAAACTACTGTCCTTTAAAAGTATAACCAAGCAGCAATTTCACTGCATTCCCACCTCTGGTCAGTCTTTAAGCTTCACACACCCCATGAAGCCCACTCTAGTGAGTGGGTTCTCTATGCCCCTATTGTGACTACCCAGTTTTTACATACACACAGATGTGTGATACATCATTCACGAAACAGGTTTCAGACTGGTCTCTATCACATTCATAACATCCAACATTACACTATAAAAGAAAATAGGAACATTACTAATTCACAAGGAAAGAAGCAAGTAATTCACATTTGCATGTAACATTTTAAGAGCATTTATACCCACAGCCAGTCAGCAATCTTCATGCCAATACAGGGGATTATTACAGGCTAGCTGTACCAGACAATACTTTATCATTCCCAGAAGCCCAGCTTAATGCCAATACACTGAACAAAACTCAGAGAATACACCCACCCACACATCACCAAAGAGTCCTGTAAGCTGCTATTTAAAGGACTCCGGGGGACAACATTTCCAGTGGAGTTGATTATCGACTCTTGGCATTTTAAGGCTGGATCTCCAGTTGGGGGAGAGGGCAGGAGACGGGGGAGGGGGAGAGAGGAAAGATTTGAAGCAAAAGTCTTGCTGCAGTGTCACTCTAGCATCCATAGTACATTTAGTCATTATTGCACCCCCTCTAACTATTTTACCTAACCCCCCCCCCCGCCACCAACAAAGCAGGTTGACTGAATTGTGTGGCACAGCAGCAGACTTCCCCAACCTGAGATGCTCCAGATGTTCCAGACAGCATGGAGCTGCAGTCCAAAACATCTGGAGGGCCTCAGGTTGGGGAGACTGTACTTAACAGCTGCACAGAACTGCCTTTATGGCCTAGTCGCTACTGAAGTGATGACGCCTGTCTGGGCAAATCCTACTTAATATGGTAGAGGGCCTCACAAAACTGAATATTGCACAAAAGGGTTCCACTCTAGCCGTTTCCCCTGCGTGCTGGATGTCTCAGCTTCTCTATACAGAGAAGCATTCATACATGTGAGCTCTCCTTCCCCATTTTAAGTAGTATGGTGCACACCCAGGTTTATCAGCATGGTAAGAACCAAGGCCATGCCTCCATTCGGTTGACACTAGAACTACCAGCAACCTGGTCCGAGAAGATCACAGAGTCAAAAGCCAGAACATTCTGTATACCGTAAAGAAAGCAGAGTTTACCCAGGGCAAGAAAAGCTGAAACTACATGACAAGGTTTGCATAAAGCATTGTCAAGCAATTAAAAATGTGCACAGCTGAGCAGCAGTGAAGGGGAACGCCACAAGGCACGTGCTCTCACTCATCGTGCTGGGGTGAATATGGAGCCAGCGCTGGCCGAATAGAACAGCGTACATCTTATGGGGTAACACATTTGCCCATGACCAAAGTATTGCTCAGTGGTCAAGGACTTCATGGTTTTCAGGCTTTGCCGCAGCACTAAGGATAGGTGAAACCCCCCACCCCACCCCACTTGACCCCATATATCCAGGAAGCAACATTAACTTAAGCCATTCTTTCTTTTCAGCAAACAAGCAGTGTACCTGGACTTTTCAGTTAAACTGAAAATCTGTTCTGCTCCTCACCTGTGTATAAAAGCTGGCCAATACTGAGAAGTGTGCAGGCCTGGTTGCTTATTTAAATCAAAGACTGTGAACTGCCCAGAGAGCTTTGACTGTTCGAGTGCATACAAATGAAATAAATAAATAAGATGGCATATTCTTTAGACATACCACATATTTTGCTTGTGAGGCCCTGCCTACAATGCACAGCCAAGCCTTTCCCTTATCCTTGTCATCCGGTTACTATGTCTCCGGAAGGAAGGGGGGGGGGGTAGGCTGGGGATTGGAACAGCTGATGTCTCGCTTGGGCGCCAGCCCTCCTGGGCTTGCCTTAGCAAGCAGGCAAGTGCAAACTCCCTCGCATTTGAATCCATCCTGCCTGCAGTCCCTAACAAGCAGAGCCGCAGGCGTGCCAGTGACACTGCGGAGTACGCCATGACACAATGAGCGAGTGGGAAAAGAGGGAAGTCCAAGTGGCAGTGCTGCAAATGCCACAGCCAAAGGAGCGCCAGGGCGTTTGGCATTTGCCAGCTGGCTTGGGACAAAACGCCTGCGTGCGGGTATCATGTTTCGACAGCCAGGGACAGATGCAGGAGCCCATCGGCAACAGCACCTTGGCATGCTCTAGACGGAGATTAAGACCTCGAGTGTGACACATGCTTAAGGCAAGTCGTGTCTCTTTCCAAAGGTGCCACTCTGCATTAGAGACGCAGGCATTAGAGACAGCCCGTTGCAGATGGGTCTGTTATCAGAAGAATGCCTCAAGGCAGGGAACAAAGGCAAGCATCCTGCAGCAATGCCAACAGGGCACAACTTTGCCAAGCCACTTCCCCTGGCAAGGGACAGCCCAGAAGAACAGAGCAGGAGGGGGGACCCCCCGTCACTCCACTCCGGATTGCAGGTGGAAGATTTAATGACATTGCTTCCCTCTGCCAGGCTGACTTCACGGTTAAGCCTTCACAAAGGCAGTCTCCATGCAGAACAGCTAAAGCAATGCTTGGCCTTGTCACACATTGTGCAAACGAATGAAATGTCATACAGAGACGTAGAATCTCTTCGTAATATCCTTTTTCTCCATCCCAGCATTATCTGCCTTCTTTATCCTTCAGACATAGCTGTCCTCCACTTCTGCCAAGCTACACAGAATCACAGAACTAGAACAGGCCACAATGTCATCGGGTCCAACCAAGTTAAACCCTCCCTCTCAGACGGCGGTCCAGGTGCATCTCCAGTATGGGAGAGCACATAACTTCCCTAGACTGCCAGTTCCATTTCTGTTCCAACAGTCAGGATTTTTTCCTGATATCCACCTGGAATCAGGCTTCCTACAACATGAGCCTATTATTCCATGTTCTGCACTCTGGGATGATCGGGAAGAGACCCTGGCCTTCCTCTTGGTGACAGCCTTTCAAGTGCTTGAAGAGTGCTATTGTACCTCCACTCTGTCTTCTCTTCTGCAGGCTGAACATGCCCAGTTCTTTCAAACCCTCCTCATAGGATCTGGTTTCTAGTTTCTGGATCATCCTTACTGTCCTTTCCTGAACTCTTTCCAGTTTGCCTGCATCTTTCTTAAACAGTGGTGGCCAGAATTAGGCACAATACTCCAGATGAGACCTAACCAGTGCTGAGTAAAGGGGAACTAGTACTTTGTAAGATTTGGAAGTGATACTTCTGTTAATGCAGTCTAAAACAGCATTTGCCCTTTTGGTAGCCATGTCACATTGTTGACTCATATTCAGCTTGTGATCTACGACAATTCCTTCTCAATTGCAGTATTGTTGACGCAAGTATTCCCCATCTTGCAATGATGCATTTGGTTTCTTCTTCCTAGGTGCAGAACTTGGCATTTGTCTCTTCTGAATTTCATTTTGTTGTTTGTGCCCCAGAACGCCAACCTATCAAGATTGCCTTGAATCTTCTAGGGTATTAGCTATCCCATCCAGTTTTGTGTCATCTGCAAATCTGATAAGCATTCCCTGCACTTCCTCATCCAAGTCATTAGTGAAAATGTTGAAGAGCCCCGAGCCCAGAACAGAACCCTGCAACACCCCCCTTTTTGCCTCTCCTGTTTGAGAAGGTGCCACTGATGAGCACTCGACGAGTCCAATTCTGCAGCCAGCTCTGAATCCAACAGACAGTCGTTCCATCTAGCTCACTCTCTGCTCGTTTGCTAAGGAGGATATCATGGGGCACTCGGTTAAAAGCTTTTCTATGTCCACAGCATTCCCACAGTCCATCAGGGAGGTTACCCGATCGCAAAATGAAGACATATTAGTCCAGCAGGATTTGTCCCTGAGAGATCCATGCTGGCTTCCAGTCGTCCCTGCACTGTTTCCCGGTGTTTGCAGACTGACTGCTTCACAGTCCGCTCCAGAATTTTCCCAGGGATCGACGTCAGACTGACTGGGCTGCAGTGCCCAGGTGGTTCTTCTCCTTTTCCTTTCTTGAGGATAAGGACGACATTTGCCCTTCCCCTGTCCTCGGGCACTTCCCCGTCCTCAGAGGTAATGGGCAGCGGTTCTTCTGCCGGCTCCTTGGAAGACTCCAGGGTGGCATTCAAGTGGTCACCTGACATCACTGCACATGCTGCACTTTGTTGATGGAAATGGGTAGCCAACAGAAAAGCTGCAAACTCAAAGCCTTTTGCAGGCAAGTCCTGTGCACTGTGTGATGGGTTCAGCACTGGGCCAGGTGGCCACAGGTGCCATTTCTGTATGGCACCTGGCTTGCTGTGCCATGGAGATGCAGGCAGCAGGGATAGTTTGAAGGTCAGACAACCCTCAAATAACCCATGCCACCTGGGTTAACCTCAAGGCACCATATGAAAATGGCACACACAGGCACCAAACACAATGCACCAACCATATGTCTCCTTCCATAGACACCTGCCCATCCCCTAAGATCCTTGCCTGAGGTCCTTCTTCGGGAGCCCCCTTTGAAGGAGATAAGAAGAGTGGATACTGGGTCTTTCCTGTGGTAGCACCCGGACCCTGAAACCTGCTCCTCAGACAGGTGCACCTGACACCTATGCTTTACTCATTTTGGTGCCAGGCCAAACCCTTTTTATTTTCCTTGTATTTTAAGGATTAATTATGAGTTTTAATGTTGGTTTTATTAGATATTTATATTATGTTTTTGTGTGCTGCTATCGTACTGTATTGTATCACCATCCTGAGACTTTTGTATAAGATGGGATAGAAATGCCCCAAATAAATAAATAAAATAAACTACCAGGTTGCTGTGCCGGAAAACCTGAGATGAAACCTGTAATTTTTTTCAGCTGGCACAAAGATCATTGCTACCACTTGTGCCCACTGAATGGCTACTCATTAGCTTATCAGAAAAGGCTGATACTTCACTACAGCAGCAGTGAAAGAATACTGTCCATACTTATCTGGACTCCATTACCTGAAGGAGCGCTTACATCCATATATGCCCGACCGCCCCTTGAGATCTGCGGGAGAGGCCCTTCTCCAGGAACCCTCCGTGAAAGAAATTAGGAGGGTAGGTACTTGGAGGAGGGCTTTCTCTGCGGTGGCGCCCAATCTATGGAATGTGCTCTCCAGAGAGGTCCGCCTGGCGCCGTCGTTATTTGTTTTTCGGCGCCAGGCAAAGACCTTTTTATTTAAACGTCATTTTAATTGTTAACAATATTTACTTATTTATCTGGCCAGGGCGACTTCTTTTCTTTTCTATCTTTTCTTTTATAACTTCTTTTATATCGTTTATATATATATATATATATATATATATATATATTATTAATTTTAATTTTATATTGTTATTTTTGTATTGTATTGTGTTGTAAGCCGCCCCGAGGCTTTGGCAAGGGGCGGCATAGAAATGTTCTAATTATTATTATTATTTCCCAAACTCCTGCACCCTTACAAAGGTTGCCAATCAGAATCTGATGAGAATATGGAAACTTTGTCTTTATGAACACTATTACAAGGAAGAACAGCCACCTCCCCTTACTGCTGCACATACATACTTTGTGTTTAACTGTGTTTACATATTTTGTGTTTAATTTCATATGGCAAGCTGCTATGGGAGAGGATTCCCCCTGAAGGCAACAAAGAAATACTACTAATAAAGTAAAAGGAGAACAGAAAATACCTAGTTATCCTTCATTACCAGTGAGGAACCCTTTTCCCTATGTTATATTGATCTACTGGTGAACAATTTAAGTTTAAACTGCAAACTCTCTTTCGCCTGTATTAACTCTGTAAAGAACCATGTCAGTTAATGGCACGATATTATGATCAGTCTCCTCGGAAGTCCGTTAGCCTTACAGCAACTCTGCAAATGCATCTCGCCGGAGCACATGCACTTGCAGTGCTCCCCTGCCGGGCATCACCAAACTTGGCAACGCCTCCCCCCACCCTGGCAATCCGGCCGAGGAGGAGGAGGAGGAGCCGGATTGCAAGCAGGCAGACCCTCCCCGCCCCATTAACGCAGCCCTAACAAAGCTGGGACGGGTCCAAGGCGACAGGCAGCAAGCCCCCCCCCCGCATCATTCCGCGCCTCTAAGCCAAGGGCGCCCCCCCCCAACATTCCAGACCTGCGGGCGGGGACTGGTCGCGCTCCCCCCTCCATAAGGCCAGCCGCTAAGCAGGGACACGAGGGGTCGCACGCAAAACGAGCCAACTTCTCCCCCGCCCCCCCGCAACTCGGCCAGGGGGCGGGGCCAGAGTCCCTCCTCCTCCCCCCTCAACCGAAGAGACGACAGGGCCAGCCAATCCAGTGTCTCGCTCCCCTCCCCGGAGTGCGCGCGGCCAACCGGTGCGCGCGGACCGGCGGGCCCCGCCCCAAGCGCCTTCCCGCACCGGGCCAATCGCGGAACGGGACACAAACCCTCCTCCCTTTCCCCTTTTCCCCTCACGACGGGCGCCCTCGCTGCCCCCGCCCTCTCCTCTGCCGCCTCACCCGCGGCTGCTCCGCCGCTCAGGAGTCCGCCCGCGCGCTCTCGCGGAGCCGGCCCGAGGCTTCGGGGTGCGGCAGCCGCCGAGCCAGGCCACCCCACTGCTCTCCCCCTCAGCGGCGGCTGCGGGAGCTTTTCAAAAGTCCTCCCGAGTCCGGAACCGGAGCCCCGCCCCTTCCCGCGCCCCGCCCCTCGCGTCACCAAGATGGCGGCGCGGCGGGGTGCTACTACGCCTGCGCGGCAAAGGAGGCGGGCGGAGCCGAAGAGGAGTTTCGCGGCAGGACCGCGAGGGTGGCGAGTTCGAGTCCCGCCGGTGTCGATAGCCGGTCGTTTGTCAATCTGCTTCTCCCTAGACTGCCTGGTAGCAGAAGCTCTCTGGCTGGTTCACCGCATTCCAAACTCTCAAATGCAACCTGATGAGGTGAAATGTAAACGTGTCAAACTGCCATATAAAATGTGAATTGAAGCATGGGAGCAATGCAAAGATTTAACATGCGGTAACGGTGCAATCTCGTGTATGTTCAATCGGGGGAGGGGAAAACCTCGTGCAGCCAGATTTGCAACAACAGAAGCTGAAAGACTAAAATGCTTGGGAGAACAAGGTTTTCCTATGGCCCTGAAAGAAACAAGGTCAGTGTTGCGTAAGCCCTTTTCTCTCTTTAAAAAGGAGATGATAACCATGAAAATGCTTTGGATAACTGGAATTGTTGCTGCAGGAGTAGAAATTTCAGACTTGGGAGTAGTTGCCGCCAACTTCTGAAATTAACTGAAAGTTGCAGGCAATTATCCATTTGCAAAAATAAAATCCGAGATACCTGAAAGCTTCGTATCTTCATCCCCATGCTGCAGATGATTTGCACTAGAATCCCATCATCCCTAGAAAAATCGATTAGTGGTCAGGGATTATGGGAGTTCTTATCTAACACATCCGAGGCTATTAGATGGGGAAAGAGTGATTTATTCATTCTTGCAAACCAAAAGCAGTATTATTTCCCTGTATGATGTCTGTGAACCATCCTAACCATAAAGCAAACTGCTGCCCTCTGGGAAAAGGTCGAATACTGCCATGCACAAAGCTCTGCTTATTTTCCACCTTTGGACAGAAGGATAAGTCTGGGAAATGCTTTCTTACCATTTATAAACTAGAAGACTTCAGTTCCAGATTTTGAAAGCCACATTGCAACTATTTGATTAGGGCATTTCACTGTCACTGAAAAGTACGGACTTGCAAGCTGAGTTTTAAAAACTCAGTGCTATACATATCTACCAGGACAGAAGGAAATCCCAGCGATTTCAGCAGGACTTACAGAAATCCCAGTGATTTCAGCAGGAGTCCTGTGTCCAGTTCTGGGCACCACAGTTTAAGAACGATGAAGACAAACGGACGGGTTCAGAGGAGAGCAACAAGGGTGATCCTGGACTGGAAACAAAACCCTGTGAGGACGGAATGAAAGAGCTGGGCATGTTTAGCCTGCAGAAGAGAAGACTGAGGGGAGATAGGAGAGCACTCTATGAGTACCTGAAAGGCTGTCAGAAGAGGAAGGCCGGGATTTCCCATTCATCCCAAGTGCAGGACACAGAATAATGGGCTCAAGTTACAGGAAGCCAGATTCTGGCTGGAGATCATGAAACATTTCCAGACTGTTAGAGCAGCATGACAATGGAACCAACCACCTTGGGAGGCTGTGGGCTTTCCCACCCTGGAGGCATTCATGATGCAGCTGGACAGCCTCACAGAGCAACACACTTGTTCACTTGGTTCGTTTTACTTCGTTCTGTTTGTTTTAGTTTGCTTTGTTCCACATTCTCTTTTATGTATTTGTTTATGTTAAGAAAATAAAGATATATGAGTGATACACTGAGCAGGGGGTCGGAACTTCCAGCCCCTTCCAGCTCTGCTACTGTATGATTACCCCAGAAGTAGGTGGAGGTTTGCAGCCATTTTGTAGTACTACAAAGACTGGGTGTGTGTTGTTAATTATAACTCATCGGTCGAACTAGAGGCATCCTGCTATTATGCATGTTCAGTGGGATTCCTAAGCGATAGTGCTTTTGGAAGCAAAATTCTTCTTCTTGAGTTTTTACAGGTAGGAATGAAAATGACTAACTGGGAACTGCTTGCCGTGTGGTCTTGTCAATTTCAGTGGCTGATGGCTGTTGCTAACATAACTAAAAATGCACCAGACACTGCTCAGCAAATACAACCTCTGTTGTGGGATCACACTGCAAAGGGTCACAAAGGATGAAGGGCAGAAGCCAGCTGAGAGCCAACAGGACCAGGCAGGAGAGCAGGAAAGCCCTGCTCTCATGCCGCATTGACCGGAAGAAGTCCTGACCGGGTCAGGCAAGTTGTGGAGGGGAGACAATTTGCTTGCTCCCTGTCTTGCAAAACCAGGACCCCAAAGGTCATCCAGTGGCGCTGACTTGTGCAGGATCTGGGTCATTGGAAAGGGAGGACTTTTTACTCCAGCTTAAACAACAGAATTCACTACCACAAAAGCCAGTGATGACCACCGCTCCGGACGGCATTAAAAGAGGTTTAGAAGTATTCATGGAAGACATGGCTATCCATGTTGACCATTCCTGACGCTTCTGTACGGCCTCCAGCGTAAGTAGCAGAACGCCTAGGTGCGCATTGGTGGACTCGAGGGCATTCACACTCAGGCCCTGCCTGCGGGTTTCCTTCGGTTTGGCCCAGAATGCCGCTTCACCCAGACCCAAATGTGCCTTTTCCCAGGCCGCCGCCGTGCCTCTGCCCCCACAAGTGCCTGCAGGGTCGCTTTGCAGAAGCAGCTCGTCCTGAGCCGTTCCCCGAGCAGCAGCAGCACAGCGCTTTCCCTGCGGGCCATTTGCAGTGACGCGTCTCTCCCGGGCCTTGCGTGGCAGCACCGCACCATCCTTCCGTGCCCCTGCTGAGTCTGCGTGAGGAACGCCCCCGAGGCGTTTGCAACAGCTGCCTGTGTGTTGACAGGAACGCTTGCGCCCCTGTGTGCTGCAGTGGCGTCGTTGGCCAGGGGTCTGCAGCGCTTAGACCTCCAGGCGCTGTTGGAAGGCAGCTTCCAACATCCTTCACTACGTGTGCGTCCACCTGCCCTCCACACCACCACCACCACCGCGGCAGCCAGCTCCGTGTTTCGCTGGAGCAAGCTATGCCTCGTTGGCCTTCCAAGATGCAATGACCTCGGACAACTGGCCCCGTCGAAGCCGAGCAGGAAGATCAGCCAGGGTGGGCCAGAAAAGCCAGCAAGGGCAGATCAGCTCGGCCCAACCGTAGATAAATACTCGTTTTCAACCTACCATGCTTCCGTTCTGATCTCCCTCCTTTCCCTTTTCCCATACTGTTGTACAGTCTTGTCTATGGATTGGTGATGGATAAGGGTCCAGCAGAGGGCAACAAAAATGATCCAGGGTTTGGAAACACTGAGGAGAGTCTCCTCTCCCACGAGGAGAGACAGAGAACTCGGCATGTTCAGCCTTGAGAAGAGAAGGCCAAGGGGGGACATGGTATCCCTCCATAAGCATCTCAAAGGCTGTCACCAAGAGGAAGGCCAAGACCTCTTCTTGCTGATGCCAGAGAGCAGGACACAGAAGAATCAACTCAAGTTGCAACAACTCAGATTCAGGCTGGACATCAGGAAAAGCTTCCTCGCTGTCAGAGCAATACGGTAAAACCTTGGATTGTGAGCATAATTCATTCCGGAAACACGCTTGTACTCCAAAGCACTTGTATATCAAAGCGAATTTCCCCATAAGGTTCAATGTAAATAAGGTTAATCCATTCTGTAACTTTTTTTCTTTAATCACAAAAATTTGAAGTGGGTGCACTCGAGGGAGATGGGTGCTCTCGGGGGGGAGCCGGGTGCGATCGTGGGCGCGCTTTATGGGGGAGGATGCTGTACTCACACCCACAGCAAGAGAAGAACCGATGCTCAGTTGTGACATGAAGCTCAGCAGACAAAGCGCACATAATACTCGTACTGCAAGATATCGCTCGTTTATCAAGTTAAAATTTAGAAAAACTTTGCTCGTCTTGCAAAGCACTTGCAGACCAAGTTACTCACAATCCAAGGCTTTACTGTTCAACGATGGAACCAGCTGCCTGGAGAGGTGGGGGCTCTCCCACACCGGAAACGTTCAAAAAGAAACCGGGCAGCCCTCTGCGTGGGAGGGTGTGACTTGGCGTCCTGCAACAGCAGGGGGTGGACCTGCTGGCCCCCTTGGCCCCTTCCAACTCTGTTCTATGATTCTATGAAGACTGATGGGACTTGTAGTCCAATACTTCTACCATGTCACCAGGTTGGGGAAGGCAGTTTATAGTGTGTGGAGGCATGGTCCTAATTTTTATTTGTACTTTTATTTCCTTTAAAAGTACATATTGGAAAGACGATTTGAAAAGCGAGTTAAAAATAACAATGTCAAAACTTGCCCTGGGATAAGGAAGCTGTGGGGGGATACACTACTCGGAAGTGATTTAGGTCCTGGATCCCTGCCTCCACTCAATGAGCACCCAAGGAACTCCTCCTCCTCCTCCTCCTCCTCCTCCTCCTCCTCCTCCTCGTGGGTTCTCAGGGACCGTCTGGCTCGTTCCTGCTGGAGGCAGAAAATGGCCAGATGGCTCTCTGGATGATCCTGCAAGGCAAGGCCTTGTCTCGACTCGCCCTGCATGGAGCAAGGCGTGGCTTGGGAGCAGATCTCCATGCAGGCAAGAAACGTCCTGTTGCCTTTCCCCGTCTCTCACTTATCCTGGGAACTTCATCTGCAAAACATGCCTTCCATGGGCAATCGATAGTTCCCGTGCTTGAGCAGCTGCTGCCTGGGCTGTGTTGGCAATTAAGAATTGCACAGAAAATAAAATAATTATTGATCGCTGCCAGCAAATACATTAGCCAAACCTGGGTCCAAAGAAGGACAGATCAATGGTGCTGATCACACCGGGCTGAGGAAGTGTCATGGTGTCGAGAGATTCCATTAATCAGCTCTGTCGTTCCAACGGGGAGAAGGTTTAATATGCACGTGCTTCCATCATCCATGTCTCGAGGTGAAGAGGATGCTAAGAAGTGGCTCTGCAGGAGCAGGGGCTGGGGCACTGACAAAGAAAGCGCTCCAAGCTT